CGAAGCACGACGCAGGGATGGTACGTGAGAGCAAGTCTCCCCATTCGACACCCACGTTCGTGCTCGGAAGCCGAACGACAAGTGGCGTATCTTTCATGCTTACAATAAGCTCAACGCTGCCACCATATCGGCACATACGCCGATTCCTAATAAGGATGTTCTTCAGAACAACATAGTGGGATGCACGAAGTACAGTGCACTCGACTTGGTAGATGGATATTACCAATTGCTCATGAGAGCGAGCGACATTTCGCTGACAGCGGTAAGCACTCCGAGCGGCATGCTCTGGGAGTTGCTGGTGATGCCCCCAGGGCTGTCAAATGCACCAGCAGCATTTAATCGCCTTGTGACGCAGTTGTTCAGACCCCACAGGGCGTATGGACAGACATACTTTGACGACATTTTCGTTCATAGTCGTGCGGGCACGGGAGGACAGATGAGGAGAATCACATCGTCCATTTGAGAGCGGTGACCGAGTGCATGCGCACGAGCAAACTGTACGCCAATGCAGACAAGCGCATCTTTGGCGCAGAAAATATTCCCTTTTTAGAGTGTTTCATTGGAAAGCGTGACCTTCCAGCGAATCCCGCTAAGGTCAAGGCCATTGTAGACTGGCCAGTTCCAAAGAACCAGAAGGACTTGTGTATGTGGCTTGGTCTCGCCAACTACTTGCGCAAGTACAGCGTAAATACGCAGAGATGGCCCGGTCATAATCCAATCTCCTTAAAAAGGATGCGAACTGGTGTTGGAACACCGATCATCAGGAGGCTTCGCACGGGGTCAAAGACAGCCTCCTTCATGCACCGATACTGGCGCTGCCAGACCCCCGATCGGCGTTTCAGCGTCGTCTGTGACGCTTCGGAGTTTGCCATCGGCTGTGCGCTGCTGCAAGCAGACGCCGAGAGGCGAGATTCGGTGATCGCCTTCAAATCTCGACAGCACAAAGCTCAAAGCTGCAGAGAAGAACTACCTAGTTCATGACAAGGGATGAAGTATGCACTTGTCAAGTTCATGGTCCATCTGCTCGGCTCCAAGCCGTTTATGATC